ACAGACAAACAGACGTTGCCGTTTATATGTGGTAGGATCGGACCGCATTGCGGTACTCCGCCACGCTAACCTCAAAGTGCAGCACTTGTGTCGACACCAAAATCCCGCGGCGCTCACTCAGCCGATGGTAGAGAACTCCATACGTGAGAGGGTGCATACAAGTAGCGTCTTTGGCTATGGTTGGGCGTGTGGCAGGTCGTGTATGTTGTCGCCTTTGTATGTGTGCGGAGACACAAACGGCGCTAGCTGTCATTGTCCTGCGGTATCCTTTCCGTGTGTCGTGTGACGAAAATGTCACACTTCTACATCCACACACCCGTTCTCCTTGCACATGGATATGCCTGGTATCCTAGGAGATGAGCGCAGTAATTGTTCTTAACTATCTGTTATTTCACATGTAGTTGGCCACGCGTAAACATAAGAACCCTCATCAGCGGCGAGAACTTTGACATATATATTTCGATAAACTTTCCGAAATTCAAAAATTATTTGTATTCCAATGACTTCTGCCCATTCCACAATTCCAGGTCGGCATATGCGCTTGCATTGTATCTGTGCAACTGATCGGCTCAATCATTTGGTTACTTGTCGATCCGCCCGGGACCAAAATTGTGTTTCCATCTCGAACGGAAGCTGTATTGACGTGCAAAGTGAGAGCGATTTTCTTCGAATGCTTCATCAAATCTGCCTCCTTACTATCCTTTTTTTTCAGGCGACTGCCTCTCACTTGCTCGTCTCGTTGCTGTATAACCTGTTGCTAATTGTCGCTTGCACGGTGTATGCCTTCAAAACGCGGAAAATTCCGGAGAATTTCAACGAAACTCGACACATCGGTTTCACCATGTACAGCACTTGTATACTATGGCTGTCTTTCGGACCTATTTATTTCGCCACTCAAAATAATTTTCGGGTGAGTACTTGTACCTGCTACCTCCGTATGTGGCAGCCGCGAGTCTGCCTTCTGGGCACGCCATCGTTGTGATAATCGCAACGGGCGGGAGGGGAAGGGGGGGAGGGGCCGTAATTGTCTTCAAGAGGAATTTGCGGCTTTGGGAAAAAACTTTTCCCGGTTGTTGACTTTTTGCGGTTTTTCCCGTTTCGCTGGTGTTATA